GAAGTTTACCAGGTGTACAACGACATTCTTGGCTACTACCAGCTCGCCTGCGCGCTCAGTCTTTTCAATTCACAATTTTGTCCGAAAATCAACGACGTTGCCGAAAACCTACGGTGGATAGATGAACATTAATGGCTATGCCCTTTATAGTAGGTGACAGCTTGTGCCACCTAGCCTAAAAACAAAACAAACATAATATTTTTCTCTCTAGAACCAACGTATTGTATGTTGCCAGATTACCGTGTCAGCAGTCGTGCAGTGCTACGCAGCGTTGCCAGAGGTTCGTGATTCGATATCATTTATAAGCTTAGAGCTAGCGTTTCATTGAGGAAAAAAAGAAAATGTAGGATGTTAAATATGCCTCCAAAAACGAAGACAAACTTAGCGGAGTGCCGCGTTCCCGAAGTTTTCTTCGTTTTTCTTTTTTTTGTCTCCCAGTTATTTGAAAAACTGACATTTAATTAGGTGCTATATGACTTTTTAAATAACTGCGCAACTCGCGATTTTTATTGCTAAATTTCTCATAATTCGTTTAGCCGTGTCCGAACAAACTGGTGCACTTGAAATCGTGGCCAAACTTTTCTGCTTTACCACCACTGATCAGTGTTCACCACTATAAGCAGTGTGGCCAGATTTTGGTGATTCCATAGCCTAATTGTATTTCTCTACACTATACTATCACTTTTTCCTTGTGCCAGCACTGCTTACTCAAATATTTTCCTACGTGATTCGTTCATCTTAAAGGGATACTTCAACGAAATTTGAAATATACCAGTTGTGTTCACAAAGATGCCAATTTGAGAAGGCAATTTCCAAGGCAATGGCGTTTGAAGCAGGCGGTTGTTTTACGCAGCGGAGATGGACTTTTTGGATTGGCCGGAGCAGGTCACGTGAACGGTGTGACGTTTCCGCGTCGTCTGTTGTATGATACTGTAGGGCAGGGGTGGCCAAGCTGCGGCTCTTCGCGTGTTAAAGTGCGGCTCGCGGCGTCCTACCCTACATAGCTTCCCAACTTCGTCCCCCGCCTTCCTCCCAGCCACATGACCACTTTTTCCAAGAAGAGAAATGGAATGCGTTTTAAATCGAAAGACAGGTAGCCGTTTGGTTGTCTTGTGCTACTGCTACCTTACGCACAGTTGGACTGCTTTTGACTAGGATAGATTGAAAATATCTCGAGTTTCGTTTATTGGTCTGGATAAAAGTTTGCCGCCCCCCGCGGCACTTGGAAGTTTCGTGGTTTTGTTTGCGGCCCCTAGGCCGGGTCAGCCTGGCCACCCCTGCTGTAGGGTCACAGCTTTTAATACCTCGCGCTCTAAATGAAAACAATGAGCGCGCAGCACCGAGCACAGCGAGCGCGAGTTGCTCGTGCAGACTCTCGGTCTGGCTCGCTCAGTGGGTGGATCTCGGGAGTCGGTACGTCTGCTGTATGATACCGCTTAGGCAATTTTTAAAAACATTTCCGTTCGTGCGCAGCACACAACTCGGCGCAAATTATTGTAAAATGTTCCTTTTTTAAATCAAAAGCTATGGTATTTCCGTACATCCCCAAAACATTGACGAAACAGCGATTTTCTCACGTTCCCCATGCATTTGTGAACGGAGTTGGAACCTCCGGGCGTTCGCCTCTCGTCGCCGAGAGATGGCGCTCTAGATTGCGCTATACATAATGACAAATACACGGCGCAAAAGGACAAAAAGGGAAGAGACACACCGGATAGAACACAGCGCTCTGTTCTATCCGGTGTGTCTCTTCCCTTTTTGTCCTTTTGCGCTGTGTATTTGTCATTATGTATAACCAAAACCAACTAGCCCAATTTTCTACTTTATTATAGATTGTGCTACTCCAGAGCCGTGTATATAGAGAGTTTGGTCAATGGGAGGCAAGGAGGTTAGAAGTACTAGGAGGGGGCACGTTGCAATATTGGTGAAGCCTAGTCATAAAAAGTTTAAACGATTTCGTGCCCAGCGTGACCGCAGATCTCTCTAGCGATTGGTGCGCGTGACATGTCACGTGTGAGATGGATGGTTGATTGTAGAAGGACTCCTCGCAGGCTTGCGCGCGCTCCGTCCGGTAGGTTTTATCAGATCGAAGTCTAGACTGTGGTGTATTCTAGTACCCCATAGCAAGACGAAGGCGAGCTACGGCCACGTGATGTGGTCACGTTGGCAAGGTAAGTGAGGAGAGTAAGGAGGAAAATGAGAAAGAGGCGAGGCGTCAAGGGAGCATGGCTTGCGGAGGCTACGCGGCCGACGTCATGCCCTCTCCTACCCTTCTATTCTCCATGATGGGAGGTACGGGCAGAGCCAGGGCGTGCGCCAGACTCGGAAAGAGGACTTGGCATGGATTCTTTTCGGCTTCTGGTTGGTCAAGAGAGTTGTTGTTGTAAGCGTTGGAATGAAATTATGGATACAATATTGACTCTATTTTCTATCCATAATTTCATTCCAACGCTTACAACAACAACAACACTCTTGACCAACCCGAAGCCGAAAAGAATCCCCTAGCTGTGGTAGCGAGAAATAGTTCTGATCAAAGCGATCAAAGGTTTATGTTCGTATATGGTTTTAACAAGCGCGTAAGAGTGAAGTGTAGTAACTCTTCGTGGTTGAAAATGATGTGCACGTGAAGTTTTGATCATGATCATGTAGAAAGATGTAAGAAACGAATGCGCCGCTCAACCAACCGGCGGACTCTTCGTATACCGACGGCAGCGCCAAATCTCCCCTAACGGGCGTTGGGTTTCTCCAAAAGCAATAAGAAATAGACAAAACAATACGCGCGCCGTCGTCATGGCAACCGCTTGATTATGGGAGAGGGTGTGAGAAGTGGTCCCTCCTCTTTCTCTCTCTCACCCTCTGCGACAAAAGGATGCGAGTTCGTTCGGAGTTCGGAGCAGCCTCCGATTGAGAGAAGAGGGAACTGCTCCCATTGCCGCCGTCTCGTTCCTCTACAATACAATGTAATCATTAAAAAAAAAAAAAAAAAGTGTGTTTACCTTTTTTTGCGAATGTCCGACGCTTCCGAAACGATTGCACTTGACTTTGCGTCGCTCGATTGAGATCAGCTTAGCAACAGTGCATGTTCAGTGACAGCCAGTTCTCATAAAATCGTCAATCACTGAATGCAAAGTACGCCCAGCCGCTGCTGTTTCGCAGCTTAAGATGGGCGCACATCGCCAGTCTGAGCCCAAGTCCAAACTTCTTTTGCAAGTTCTCTTGTCATTAGGCACGCTCTTTATACATAAAAAAAATTCACTGCACGGCACAACAAAGTAACAAAATCTACACGAAACTACTATTCAAGTGTTCACGTACCTGCAATCACACATTTAACTTTGCGGCAGTTAGCGACAGTGATTCGATCGTCACGGTCTCTCGCAGGTTCCTTCTGCAGCGAGCTGCTCCACGCACGAGCTACCGAGCTGCGGTGTTCTAACACCGATGCCGCCCACACCGCACATTTTAGGATACATCCGCTGTCCCTTGTGACCTTCTACAATATCTCTACCTAGGGTGCCTCAATGTCCTTCTGTTTAGGGTGATGCCACCCTTTGTAGTACCCGATGCCGACAGCACGCGCTCACGGTGAAAATACAAAGAAATCAACGAAAACAAAATGTCGCCATAATAGAGTCAACGCCACAAACGCGTGCAGGGCCACGCTCTTTCACGCGCTTCTGAACAAAAAATAAAAATAAACGTGTGGGACAAATGGCGAGATGCCACCACCCTAAGCAAAGCGCACATGAAGGCACCCTATCTCTACCGTAAAGAAACATGCACCAGGAAGTTTTCGGCAATCCGAAACTGTATAACCAAAAGTATAGCAGCCCGTCTTTACCATAGAGTTATTATAATGTACGCTAGAGGTTCAACTGGCGCTAGTGTCTATGCGACTTCCGTGACGCAAATTGAAGCAGACAGCAACCAGTCTACTTTTGCGGTGCTCCTGTACATTCCTATGGGAAAACGCGCGTGCATTTTGTCTCTTCGCCGGAAAATAACATGGAACACTTCGGTTATTTCGGTCGTACCGAATAGTATGTGTCTTAATTAACATTGTAAAAGTGTAATTGCTTTAGTTAGCGCATTTTTCTTCATCAGTGAGCGATGTTTAACTTCGCTGCATTTCAGTCCCAAACGTGTGTTCCGCAGCAGGTGTGTAAAAACAAGCGACGATTCAAAGCAAAATTACGATAGAAACGAATATAGAGTGTGTTCAAGGCTCGCCAGCATTCCGGTGACGCTTGTATATTGATAATATGCCAGTCCTGTCACCATATGAAAATGATCCCGTCGTGCATGAGCGGATAAAAACCTTCAACGTGGAGAATAAAGTCCGTGGGATATGAAAGGTGTCTCTTCGTATTGTTTTCTCTGCCGGGCAGCTTTTATCGCGCACTTGTTCTCAAAGATGTCTAGCGCGCGGGTGATATCTTGAACGTAGAACACACAGCTTCGCTCAGGACAGAAAGAATAAAGCGGTACTCACTTATTTAAAATCGGAATAGATTACGTGGCCTTCAATTTATTTTGATCGTACATGCACAGCGAGTTACTGATCCGGTGTTGCTGCGTAGTTCTTGCCGCCGCTTTTGATTTTCCAGATGTCCTTCGTTCGTTTGGCCATGTATATCCCCCATGCTGGAAATCGCCGACGCCGCGTTCGCGCTAACAGTGTCCGACAGTGCACATAAATACACGTACGAAGCCGTTTTAGCACCGTTTTTAATGCGATGAATTCGAGAGAAAAACGCCGTAACTGACCAATTCTTTCGTCGGCCTGACTGAGAAATGTTCCAAACTACCTAGTACTTACAAATTATTTGGGATATTTGCTCTTATGATCGAGCGCAGGGAGAAAATGCACTCACTTTTTCCGATAGAAATGCATTACCGGAAGTCAATTTTCGACTGGTTGCTGTCTGCTTCAATTTGCGTCAGCACACTAGCGCCACTTGAACCTCTAGCGTACATTATAATAACTCTATGGTCTTTACCTTTCGTCATTCGATCGGGAATCCAAAGAACTTGACAGAGCTGTTGCCACTGGAATTAGAGCACCACTGAGTCGAGCAATAAACAAGGTTTCGTTTGCTCCGTGTACTGGTAGAAGAAATAGACCGATAACCAATAGGTCAACGCCACTGCCCGCTGCCGCAAACGAAAACCACCACCGCACCGCTGGCACAGGCGCCGTCGAGCAGCCGACGCATCCGCGAGCGCGGCACCCGACGCGCAACTGTTCTCAACGGTTAAAATACAAAAACAACCGACCAATGAGAGCAAAGTATGAGGGCGAAACTTCAGCTAACCAAAATATTTGTTTCATCTTACCAGGATAATTTTTTGAAATCTGCTAACAGCAACAATAATATGTATCTCATCCTATTAAATAAACTTTCCGGCGTAAACCGGAAAGACTTAATAGAATACCAACAGATAAAAGATGGCGCTCAAATAGCTGACCGGAAGTCGCTCGAAGTGTCCGCCGGTTGGCGAAGTCACGATCGGATCACGGCGAGTTAACCCGTTGAGTGCGCTCCTTGGCATGCACCAATGCGCTGCAGAGAAGCGACACCCGCGGAGCAGACACCGCAGTCGCGCGAGTCGCGCAGTGCTTTGTGCTCCGAAAAGGACGGTGATGCTTCACCAACACTACATCCAGACTTTGGTACAACTCAACTATACTTGGTTTCAGCTTCGGTGCGAGCGCAGCCGAAGCTACAAGCGCGCGCATGGAGCCCGTAACTCCGTAACGGTGCCCATACTGCACGAGCCCAAGCGCGAGTCAGGAATGCACAGATTGTTCCGCTAGTCGCACTCTTCCACCATCATTTTGGATGAGCGTGATTGAAACATCACGTGTGTCATATTTTCAGACACCGAGATTTACTCCGATGCACTTGTCAGGTTTGTTTCTCGCGACCCCCGCCAGGGTATTATTTCCGGCTTCTGGTTGGTCATATTTGAATTTCTGAAGACGCCCTGGAACACGCCCAGCCCGCTTTCGGCCAATGGAGCCTCCTTATTTGTCTCCTATACTTCCCAACGAATGGCCAAACTCTCTACATATACGGCTCTGCCCTACTCTACACGGAACAGAATATTACAGTTGAGATACAGAATATTACAGTTAAGAGAGCTAGTAAATACAAGTGTCTAGGAGTATGGATATGTGATGGTGCAGAATATCTCAGTGAGCATGAAAAGTATTTAATAGGTAACGGCAACAGAAATGCAGCTGTAATGAAAAATAGAGCACTTTGGAATTACACAGGCATGAGCTGTGGTGAAAAATATTTGGAAAGCGGTCATGGTATCCTGGCTTGACTTTTGGAAACGCGGTGCTATGCATGAAATCCGAAGTGCATGCAAGACTAGAAATAAAACAGCGCGGAGTAGGTAGGCTGGCTTTGGGGGGGCACATTGCAAAACGCCAAACCAGGGAGCACAAGGAGACATGGGATGGGCGTCATTTGAGGGCAGGGAAGCGGCGAGCAAGATAGAATTTGAGGATCGGTTGAGGCATATGGATGGGGAGCAATGGGCACGAAAGGTTTTTAGCTATTTATACATGAGGAATATAGACACAAAGTGGAGACAGCGCACTAGGAAATCAAGAGGAAAGTTTTTAGGCTATAGTTTTACAAAAAAAAAAGCACCATCTGTGGGCAACGCTGCACGAAGTCTTAGCGCGATAGGTTAAGAAACCGAATTTTCCGGTCGATTTAAAGAGCCTGCCGTCTCCTTGTTTCACCCTGTAGTACACTGTAGCACTGAGCTAGATTTCAGACGCCATGAATTTCCCAGAAGGGGCGAGCGGCACCTGCCTCGAGCATTTCTACCACAATTAATGGCGCCACTTTTCTTAGGATAGAGGGGCTTTACTGTAGCGGCCGTTTCTCTACGCAACGCAATCAAGCGCATTCAAACGCAAGTGTGTGTACCTACCTTATTTTTATCGACGTCGTTTCCAATCGCGTTGCGAGCGGCGCTATCGCATTATGAAGTGTGGCTGTTACGTACCAAGTGAGACAGAACAACAAGAAAAGATTGGGGCGTGCTAGACCTGAAAGACACCTGACATATATTTCAATAGTTAATTTGAACTTCCGAACATTTTTCATCGTCCCTTTGCGTCACTCCGGCTCCTTGCTGACAGCCTCCTCCCAAGAGATCAGGAGCTCCCGCTGGTTAAAAGCTTGCGCCTTACTAGATCTGGTGGGCTACAGCCACTGTTCGGTCGCACTGTGCGTCACCAGAACTCTGTCTTGGTGAAGTGTGTAACCCTCTGGCGCTCGCTGCCAAAGACGCTGACCGACTGTCCACCCCAGGAGAAGGAGGCATCGGACTTCCTTCAGCAGTGATCTTCCATGGAAAAAAAACAAAAAAACCTTGCATGCTTCATTGTCATATTTATTTATTTATTTGTTTCTTTTTCACAATATGTAGTAGTGCGGCACCTCAGGCCCCAGGTATGGGCCAATGGCCTTTCTGTGGTGCCGCAACCCTCCAGGGTTGAATAAAGATATTATTATTATTATTAAATAAACTTCGCATCGCAGAAAGCGGCAACGTTACCACAAAAGGGAATGCGGTTTTGCCGCTCAAGCTGAACACGTCAAGGTCGCATTCCTTCGCGCCTCTGCGACTCCTCTACTATAAACTGCCTGAAACCACCAAAGCGACCCTAACCACGGAAAATACTTTAAAAAAAATGATTTAAACTTTTTTTTTATATTATTTTTTATCTACACACTTTAAAATGCAGGCTGTTTCAAGTTTCTTTATTCCTCTTCAAACAAGAAGAGAGGGAGGCAGCGAAAAAGCAGTAAAGACTTCTTGACAGTGTCCTCTCCTCCCCCAACAGCAACAGCAGAAGAGGCACTCAAAACAAAACCGCCCTTAAGAGTACACAGTCAGATTTCTCACGAAACTAGCAAATATTGTATGCGTTTGTCGGAACAGTTTTCAATTGTAATATACCGCGATAGAAAATAGTTTAACATTTGGGTAGCTGGTATTTAACCATTTGATTTCCGTTGTTTGTTCTCGAGTGCGGGACCGTCCAGGAGTCTGCAGGCGGGTGGCATACGAGGTGTTTTGTGGGTGAAGGGAAGAAAGAAAAAGAAAACTGTTTCCCGGGTGGTTTATCGCTGCTTTATATGCTAGGGCCCCCCCAAGCAACGTTACTGTTCATACTAACACTTCACAGCACAAGGAAACAGACGCACAGAAAAATAAATTTGAAACACTCAAAGAAAGAACTCTCACACAGCGCTGACTCTCAACTTTGGTGTATTACACTCAGACTTGTGCGTAACCCGTTACAAGTAATGGATTACTTGTAATCGATTACATTTTATTGTAATTTTGTAACGCTTTAATTACTTCCTCTAAGGAGTAACGATCTTTGTAATTGAATTACTTTTTTTTGCTGTAATTGATTACAAAATTACCCTTTACAATTTTTTTTTTTTTTTTTTTTTTTTTTTTAAGGAGGGCGGGGGCAAGATGTGCTGGCGTCACTCAGCTCTGGGCAACCGTCAATTTTTTTTTTTTTTTTAATGGGGGCGGGGCAAGATGTGCTGGCGTCAGTCAGCTCTGGGTAACCGTCAATTTTTTTTTTTTTTTAAGGAGGGCGGGGGCAAGATGTGCTGGCGTCACTCAGCTCTGGGCAACCGTCAATTTTTTTTTTTTTTTTAATGGGGGCGGGGCAAGATGTGCTGGCGTCAGTCAGCTCTGGGTAACCGTCAATTTTTTTTTTTTTTTTAAGGAGGGCGGGGGCAAGATGTGCTGGCGTCACTCAGCTCTGGGCAACCGTCAATTTTTTTTTTTTTTTTTTAATGGGGGCGGGGCAAGATGTGCTGGCGTCAGTCAGCTCTGGGTAACCGTCAATTTTTTTTTTTTTTTTTCTTTTTCGAAATACTTAGCACGGGACCTGGATGATTAGTAGGCCACCTCACTGCGCTTCGTTTCCTTGCTACATTTTTCTTTTTTTTTTTTTTTTTTTTGGGGGGGGGGGGGGGAGGGAAGGGGGAGGGGGTAAACCGGAGACTACGTTTGCGTATGAAAAATGACCTTATCTAGCCTCTTCTGTGTAATGCATATAAACAGTGCTCTTTTTTACTTTTATTATATATATATATATGTATATATTTATTTATTTTTTTTTTATGAGAGGGATCGGATCTGTTGGGGCGTCACTCGCTCAGCTCTAAGCAAAAAACGGTCAAGGTTGGTTTTTTTTTTTTTTTTTTTTATACAATTGAGCGCGAGGCCTTAAGGATTATGCTACCGTAATAAAAAAAAATTTGAATGAAAAGTAATGTGGGAAGTAGTCGGTTACATGAGAGTAATTTTTCGATTACTTTTTTGAGGCTGTAATTGTAATCGGTTACTTTTTTACAGTGAAGTAATTGTAATCAGTTACTTTTTTCATTAACGTGTAGAAGTCTGAATTTACACTTCATCTTCATCTTTTTTCTTTTCTTTTTTTTTTTTTGCTATTATACACATGGAAGTAAAAAAATAACTAAAAAAAAAAAAAAAACACAAGGAAGAGGAAACTAAAGAAGAAAAAAGAAAAGCAAGCTCTCAAGGCGATGGTAGCAGACGACGCGCGAGACAGGGGCGTAGGATCCGATTGCAGCGCGGCTAGTTCTCGTAACCGCCACCTGGGCCCCTCGCCCCCGCAGGCGAGAATAGGGAGCTGCGAAACTGAGGGAGGGGGGGACTCCAGTAACGTTGAGGGCGAGTTTATACTCATAATAATTTGTGATTGGACCAATTCCTAATTTGTTGAATAACGGTGCCGTGTGCTGTCATGTGCTTAATTACACAAAATACGAATTACCTTTTTTCTAAAGTATACGAATACGACGAATATTTGCAGTTGGTATTTCCCCATACTAAGAAACAGTAATTAAAGCGAGAGTAGAATAAAGAGTTATAAAGAAGTCTTAGTACAGACTGGGTAAGGTTTTGTATGCTTATAAATTATGCCAATTACCTTCGATAGTTTTCTCGCTATTTTCTGAACTGTTTCATCCCATCACATGTATTCTTTAAACATAACACCAAGAACTTTGACATTTTGCACGATTTTTATACCGAGTGAGTAAGGAGAGAAGCTGACTTCCGTCTATTTTTACCCCCTTTGACCT